GCTCTGGAGAAAGGACGACACGAGTCGAAGGTGTGGGCTTCTGAGAGTGGCATCTCTGGGCGCAGGACTGAGTGGGGAGGCAGAGTGTGTGGGTTCTAGCACCTTGCACACAAGCAGCACAGTTGTGGCCGCTCTTCCTTCAGCCTGGTTCCATGCTCTGCTCCTCCTCAGCCCCAAGGTGCTGACTCCTGGCCCGTGTGCCACCAAGTCACACATGTACCTTCAAAACAGCATCTCACTCACCCCTTGTTTACATTTTTACTCTTTTGTTCACCGTTCCTTTCCTGCTTTTCCTTCCTAGTAGCATTGACTCTGTACATCTGTGTTTCCTAAGTCCACACAGGGCCCTCCCCGACAGTCCATATCCTTGTCCACCTTGCCTTTAACAGGAAATAAGTCCTAATTTTTCTGATACTTGCAGGAAGGAAAGGAAATGATGTTTGAATAGAAAATGTCCTTATTTCCTGATTAGCAACAGACTAACTAATCATGATGGATGGAACATTCTTTTATTTCCAGAGTTTTCCTTGGCTAGAGACTCATGATTCTAGGAGGTTTTATTAAATATCAACTTGAAAAGTTAGAATTTTATCAGTTTCTGTAAACTTACTTAATGTATTTCATTTAAATGATTCTGTCAGTGAAATGAGAAGACGCGGTTTGCTGCAGAGAAAAGTAGCTCAAACACAGTCATATTGGCAGGTAACTCACAAGATACAAAAGCAGCTCCCAGATCCTCACTGAAAGTTTAGGAGTGTTGATAAAATCTTTTTCATCTTAGTCAAAGAAATAGGTTTCTGACTTCACTAAGATCAAACTGCTAATGACGTGTTAACCTCTAGCAAGATAAATTTTATATTGTACAGGGGAAAACTTACCCCTTTCTGTTCAACTTACCATGGTTTTCTAGTTTATATTACAAGTATGGAGCTTGAACAGCTTATGTGTTTTTCTAGACCTGTCCATTTTCTTAAGGATATTCCATCCAGGCAACACAAGCTTTGTGTTGCCTTCCATACCAGAAAATCCAGACATTGTTATCTAGCTGGGTGATTTTATGTGCTGAGAACTGTCTCTCTAGTTCTGGATTTCAACACATTGATGGAAGCATTGTTTTTCCCTGCACATAGTTGCCTTCAATGACAAGAACTCTCATCTGACATTTGTATGGTGTCTTTTCCCAAGGTGCACATGGACGTGGACCCAGCGCTCTCCTCCAGCCCCTGTGGATCACTTGCTTACCCT